AGGTGGGGGGCTTTAACTCAAGCATTAAACTTAGCACAGTGTTGTCATAGTCTTGGAGGCTTACATATAAATTGGTGGGTATGTTTCATATGACTATAGATTTGTTTCATAAAGTTTGGTAACTTGTCAAGATATAGCATGATGAAGACTCTAACATTAAAATTGATCCTAAATCACACTCTCTGTCAATTATATTGTGATAATCAAATGTCAGAAAACAAAGAAAAATTGATACCCCAGACCTATCTGGGGTTCATCAAATTACCAGAATACTATTGTTTACACCTGTAGTGTCTGCAAGAGCTTTTCTATGGTGACATAAGTCAGAAATTACAATGAAAAGTCATTCAGACTTCAAGCTTAACTGGTACATGTTGTTAGCTTTGGGGTTCTATGAAATGATTTCAGTTCCAGTGGTTTCCTGTTTCTTATAGTCTGGATTATATATTCTGTGACTTCAAAAGTCAACCTGCTCAGAAGCTTTAACAGAAGGAACACAAATTGGAAACCTTCAGGAGCGTTCATTCAATGTCACCAGAGTTGAATGACAAGATCTGTCTGTATCTTACAGCATTTTCACCTTTCATGATTTTGTCAAGACATACCTCTTGAAATGATTTGCCAAAAATCCAGTTTTCATCACCTTAAATTCAAAATCTCAGGATCAAAATATGATTTGAAAGCAAATAACATTTGGTGAGGAAAGATTACTTTAAGTAAGAGTCATCAAGTCAAAGACCCAGTAACAGACAGTGATAATTGAGAAAGTTGTAAAAGGAGTTTATAACTGTGATTCTGTGCATTGTGTGTGCCTCTGTGTATATGAATGCACAGTTCTAATATAGTTTGCCCCTGAGGGGGTTACAAGTGTAAGTTAAATCTTATTCCATGCCATTATGTATTTAAGAGCTCCTTGAAATATTTTATAGGATTTAGAAGGTCAGATCTTATTCTAATATGTATATAAAATACTCCAAGAAGTTTTCAATTTTTCTAATGCTATGACCTTTTAATGCAACTCATCATGGAATGGTAAACCCTGATCATAAAATTATTTTGTTGCTATTTAATAACTGTAATTTTGCTACTGTTATGAATCATAATGTGAATATCTGATATACAGGATATCTGGTATGAGAAGCCCAAAGGACTCCTACCCACAGGTTGAGAATTACTGTTCTAATACACTTATATATATTATGTATGCTTTGCAATATGTTATTTAAAATAATTTTTGTCACTTACAGTTAAAGTTTTTCATACTATTGATTCTTTATTCAACTATAAATATCAATAATAGATATTAAGGCTTCTTTATAATAATGCATATTTGTGGAGGTAGCCGCATACATGTCATATATTACTATTTCTTATGTAAATGTTTTAACTGCATCTCAGAAAGAAGCAAAAGAAATAAAGTTATATAAACCAGCAATGATATTAATTTGTTTTAAGGTAATTATAATATATGGAGCAAAAGATCCAGCAACTTTTGAAATTTTTAGTTAAGGTTTTAATTAGTGAAAACTAACTTTTAATATCATAGAGACATATACAAATTTGACAGGTCGTCTCATAACTCCGTACTGGGAAGAAAAAGAAGTAAGCAGATAAGGGAAAAGCCTTTGAAATGGCCACCCTCATGCTTAGGTGCTGTTTACTCAGCTCTCCCTCTGAAGAGAAGGTTAAAATCATTGATTTAACCTTTGAATTTACCGGACACTATCATACTGATCCTTGCATATGTCTTTGATTTCTTCTGAATCTCAGGCACATTGTGTCCTGGAAAAGACCATTACATTGAGTGATGGAACATTTGTTACTTGTTTAAAACTCCCAAATCCTTTCCCCCTTCTTCTTGTGATTCACAGTTTTTTTTTTTTTTTTCTGAAGATTTCATTGTACCAGATGAAATATCATATGATTTCTTAGTATTTCATAAGAGGAGTAAAATGTGACTAATTTTGTAGATGAAATAAATAATTATGTACAAATTTAAAAGAGGAAGTTAAGCATTTAGCCAGTTACTGTTGACATCCTCAAGGAAGGCAAATGTATCTCTCAGTGAATGTTTCTTCAGGACAATTTCTATGTGGTGCTGAGATTTACAGAGTTCTCACATTTGCTTCCCCCACAAGGATTCTAAATCAGGCTGGTTCAGAGGAGAAGCCAGCATACCCCCATTTTTCTAATATTATCACTTCTCCAGATGGTTCTGAAAACATCTATTCAGCTCCCTTTTCCTAGAAAGTAGAGGTACCTTATTAGCTATGTAAGCACATCCACCACAGAGGCAGCCTCAGTCTTTACTTCTCTCTCTCTCTCTCTCTCTCTCTCTCTCTCTCTCTCTCTCTCTCTCTCTCTCTTTCTCTCTCTCTCTCTCTCTCAGCTCTCTCCCTCCTTTAACATATCAAATCTCTTTCATCTCCTACCAGGCAGGATGACAAGTAGAGAGCAAGCTCAGTGATTGCTTGAAAATTCATCTTGGCAACCTGAGCAATGAGAGAGTTAATGGTGGATCTTTGAAGACAAGTGACCATGGGAAATTAGGGTTGGCAGGGATTTAACTCTTCATGAGACATGCCGCAATATTTTTAAGAGCAATGCAGTAGATATTTTAACTGTGTTTGACATCTAATTAAGAAAAAAAGAAGAGGAAGATTTAAATAAAATCCCTTTTACAGTTAGAAGGAAAGCTTTTACAGTTGATTATCAGGTATGTGCTTTGACGAAACAAGCCTGTGTACAGAGACACAAAGGTAATAACACAGCAATAAAATGACAGAGGAAAACCTGCTGGAACTCTGCCTCTTTTCTTTTTCCTTGTTGTTGTCCACTTCACAGTTTCTTTTACCAAACTGCCAAGCTCTTGATCTATCAATAGAATTGTTACAGAGCTATGGAGGAGTTTTAGATTGAAAGGAAAGCACAAACATTTTGGTGAATGCCATAGCTAAAACTGTAAGACTTACAGGAGAGTGTCACACACACACACACACACACACACACACACACATATATATATAATGTTAATTTATACAGCCCTCATCAGACAAGTTTAAACATATGTATATACAAAGAACAGGTTTTATTCTACACTATCTATGTAATTTGAATGCGTAGACATGACAGGTGCCTCCTGTTTGATTTGAGAATAATTATTGGCAAGGAAATTAAATTCTCACAAAGTAAGGAAGCATAATAAATTTTAATTATATTTTGCAGTTTACTTAGCAATTAGAAAAGTGTCTCTAAGACTATTAGAGTTTTAAAATATACTTAATTATTTCAAATTTGCTAAAAACAAATTTTACCATGCAGCCATTCAACATATTAGAAATCCAGACCTGAGAATCACATTTTTTCAAAACTAAAGTTGAATATAAAACTTACAAGGGGTGTAAACTTGAATAAAATAAGCTATCCATCTTAGGATACCTTGATGGTTTGTTCTCAATGATACAAATTAAAGACCAATGGAAATGTAGACTTTTTTTCATAGTAAGTAATTTCACTTTTTTATTATATGGAAACATAATAAAGACTAAAACAGTTAATGGATGTTGTATGATTTTTCATTACTGGTATACTAATGCAACTGCTTATATTGCATTATAACTATATGTGTAATTAGATGCTTAGTGAAACATTACACTAAAAATAATTTTCTAAGTTAAAGTGTTTTATCCTAAGTTGAATCCAAATACACACACTAATAGGTGTTTAATTTTCTCATGCACAGTGTGAAAATTATGCCTCTTTCCTAACTGATCTCGATGCACACTAAAACATTCAGAAAAAGTTGTCCTCCATCATGTGAAAATTATAAATACATTTCCCTCTGTATCAGTAATGTACAAAAAGGAAGTGTCTCTAGAAATAGCCAATACTCTTCATGTACCTTGTAAGCTAAATATATAGCCGGGGTGGAAGCTGCTCAGTGCCCCACCCCCAACTCAAGAAATCCGAGAATCATAGGAAATCAGCACCTTCGGGAGTTAAACCACAAGAGTTGAATTAAAGTAGTTTAATCTTAAACTCCATTTAATAATACCCAAGTTAGAGAAATGCTCTCTAAAAGTTTTGTACACACACACACACATACTTTAAAATTTGATTTATCATTACATTAGACATTAGTCTCTGAAGTCTCTCTATATAAATACAAAGCAAGTATTTTCTTTAAAATTGTCATCTGAAAACAAACACACATGCATCTATAACAGAAAGTATCATGTGACCTCTAAGGGTTTTCTTTTATAAATTTATACTTCTTAAAAAGAAGTTCATATAACTAGCTGTCTCACCAGGGAATAACATCTCTTTAACTCTCACTTAACTACATATGGAATGAAATAACATTATATTTCAGAGGCTAGTTTTACACCAATTAGGGAAACACAGTCTTTTCACCATCATAACACAGTGTGGAAAAACTAGCCTGTTCTCTCCAGTTTATATTCTCTTGGCAAACCATGATCTACTGCTTATGGTAAGCATCTGAGTGTCAGATTTGAACAAACTGAATATTCATGATGAAGATTAACCGTTTGGTGTCCACAACTAGGAAGATTCTGTTCACTGTAATGGTTACTATAGGTGAGGCATGAGTATCTATAAAGAAAGCATCCTTTTTTTTTTTTTTTTTTTTTTTTTTTTTTTGCACTAACGGTTATTTGAAAATATTTTAATAGAAGTGAGAAGAATGAACGGCACATAGCATGATCAGAAGGTACTCGGTTCAGCATGCACGGAGCAGGCACACAGCTCACTGAGGTTTAAATGTTCTTTGTTTGCTTTTAAGTTGTCACACATCAAACAGAAGACATGCTTTTTTTGTTGTTTAAGGGAAAGTGTTTAAATTTTCACAGACATTTTTCACCCAATGACACAGGTTTCCCAGGTTAAACTAAAGGCTTGATGGTTAGTGTTGGGAGTTCAAGGAAAGAAAGGAAGGGGCACCACAAAGCTAGTCAAATAAAAGAAGAAGAAAGCTTTACCTTTGTACGATAATTTCAGTCTTGGCACATTGTTCTTCCCGTTTGCATAGTTTGCTCTCGCTGTAAGTAACACACCCCAGAAAAGACAGGCAATCCCAGTGAACCAGCCCATGCTGCAGACGCTGGAGGTCCCTGGGCTGCTGCAGCTTTCCTTCCTGTATTGTGCGGCCAGAGAAGTTCAAACAATCTGGAAACTGGAGGTAACAGGTGATTTAGGTCAGTTTCATTCATAAATGCAGACAATCAAGACCTCATGGCAACACTAACGTCTCTTCTTCTGTAACAGTCACGGAATCACAGAAACTTCAAACCCTCAAAAAAAAAAAAAAAAAAAAAAAAAAATCGAGCCAGGCACCGGATAATGAGGCACAACTGTTGTGTGGAAAGAAGAAAAAAATTAACAAGGGCTGCGGCAGTGGTGCTTAAGAAGCAGTTCCTTTTATCTCCGCTCCGCTGATAGCCGGTGGCAGACTCTAATCCTGCTCCCTCTCTGCTTCATTCGGCTCCGAGGAAGCAGAATGAAAGGGAAACAGAGAAAGGGAGAGAGAGAGAGAGGAGAGGGGGAGCGAGCAGCCTTGAGCAGCGCGGACTTTTCCTGTGCACACGCAGGGGAAGATGACACAGGATCCCGCGGACAGGTTTTCCCAACACTCACTAGACGCGCTGACAATGGGAGAAGACCGAGCTCAACCCACTCCCCTTCCCTCTTGTCACACAACATATGCAAAAAACATCTCACAGAGATTAGAGCCGGGAGCAGAACCCTCTGGCGTGCCTGGGAGAGGCATGGGGCTATAAATTTACCTCCCGAGGCAAGCGTTGTTTTATAGCCATTTTGGGGAGTAATTTTGATTTAAAAGAAAAAAAACTGAATTTGGCTACCTACAGAATTTACAGTCCATGCTCATTATACAGTCCTGCTGAAGTTGTGGGGTATGTGTGTGTGTGTGTGTGTGTGTGTGTGTGTGTGTGTGTGTGTATTCAGCTCATCAGTGTAACTTTAACCACGGAAGCTTTTAAAGCCTCCTTAGAGATTATTCCCGCCTCCACACAGCCCCCCTTGGGTTCAGCCGCCCCCTTCCCCTGCTCTACAACAAGTGTAGTGAAGAAATTCCTTGGAAAGCCTATATAAACGATCAGTTCAAGACAAATACAGGTCCACTGAGAATTATAAATTACAACAGGGGATTCGCAAAAGGATACTCCAAATTTAAAAGTGCCCTGGTTTTGCAGCTCCTGGAAGGTGGTGGCTGACTTTTGCAATGCACCACCTTTCACAGATTAATTAGAATCACTTCCCTAGTGCTGGCTTCAAGGGCAGAGGAAGATGACAAAGTTCACAAAAGTCCCTGCTGGGTGTCAAGGACCAAACTTAAAAGAAAAGTGTGCTCTTCTGTCTTCATGAACTGGTAAGGGGTAACTCGGTTGTCTGTGGGACACAATCATGTATTCAGAGCTCCTTCGAACCTCATTAATTCTCTGCCATACAGGCATGCTCTCTGCTGGGTATACATTTTCTCTTTTACTTTTCTTTCAAGATCCCTGAAACCTAATGATATTATAGTATTTGGGTAAGCTGTAAGAGAAAGCCCTCTACATTCCCTGTAAGCTCCTCTACTCTCCCTTTTCTACCACTGCTTCTAAACACTTAAGACCAGAAGAGAATTCCTGCTTGATGATATGAGTGTTCCTTGGCAGAAAAGAGAGGGCTAGTCTCACAATCAAAAACACAAGCACTGTTGAAAGTACTCATAAACGTTATCTAAGCATTGCCCTGATAACTCTCATACTGTCTATAGACGGCATTCTTCCCCTGACCTCTGTGTGAATGTAGATTGAGGAGGAGAATTGAAGGGGGGGGGAGCAGAGGGTCCACTACACTAGATTGATTTGTCAAACAGATCTTATTGTATTTGTCAGTTCCCAAAAGCCTATTGATCAGTTAGCATTGTTAAGAATATAAACTCCAAAATCATGTTGATTTTAGTGATCCCACCCTTGTTATCCTGAGCACTTTTCACGCTTTAGGCAGAGGATTAAGGCTACAAATGACAAGAGGCTTTCTGTCTGTCTCTATAGGCACTCATTTTGCAAAGGAATTCAGGCCACTTTGGGATTATCTAGAGGATTCCAATAGTGAATTATCCCATCCAACCACTGTTACTATATTCAAGCAATCCACCTTTCTACTTAATGTATTGTTTAATGCATTAAGATATTCTACCATGTTTCTTGTGTAAACAAGAAAGTTAGTTTATCTTTGTCAAGGAAGAACAGGATAAAATAAAGTATCTATTTTGCCTGTTAAAAGTCTAATTTTGGAAATGTTTTTGTGTTCCATGAAAAATAAAATAATGGCAAGATTCAATTAAAAAGGCCACAATGATTCTAAAGGAGTGACATTTCATCTAGAATTTGAAAAACAAAGTGAGAGAGCATTGTGGAATTGTACAGAACTAATAATTTTAATAAAGTTGATGCCTGCAATTTGATACACAAATACATTCGTATTTATAAACACTCCTACTTTTAGAACTTTTAATGCAATTAAGTTTGTAAAACATAAGACCAATTGAGTCTTCAGTGTCTGCTCTGATTTCTCCTGACTCTGGCAAGATTAACTGCACTTGTCTTCATTTGTTTACGATATATTTCCCTCCTCCTGAGAGATAATTACATTTAAGCCCTTTTCTTAGCTGAAGTAGAAGCAAGACAGGAGTGTACCTGCATAGGAGTTTGTGAGATCCACAGGACTTAGCTACAGGTGTGACAATGTGGATTTTGATTCACTTCTACAATAGAACTTGTGGCCTAAGGCATGACTTGATTGAACATGCTGCCAAGGCCACGGAAATCCTGGTTTTTCTGTATTTACTACTGCTGCTAAAAGTCAGAAGCACTCTATTGATTTTTTTAATACTGAATCTTAAACTATGACAACATACTGTGCCTTTCACCCAAAGTCACATCCTCTTTCACTTGGCTCTACTCTACAGCCCATGTCTTGTGCCACAATCAATTCTCTTTACAGAAGAGTTCCTATAACTCCTAACATTCCAAGTATTCAAATGTAAGTGTGCACCTGCTAATTTGATCACAGGCTTTCTATGTTGATCTTGTGTGCTTATTTTGCCAAAGAACTCGATAGCTTTTGGCCTCACCCCATTCCATTTATTCCATTTTGAGAGAGATTATGAAGAATGACAATTTTCTGGGTGTTGTACTTGATTTTCCAGAGAAACAGTACTTCCAACTTCACGACAAGTTAGGTAACTTTTTTTTTTTTTTTAAATTAAAGATTCAGGTAGTTCCAGAGGTTACTTGTTAAATTATTTCTTTTTTTTTTTTTTTTTGGAGAGATGTTTTTCTTAGGTAAAACCAATGTTTCTATTTTGAAGGGGCCACTTTTAATTTGCTATCATAAAATAATTTGAAATGGCAATAAACACTGTGAATTAAGACAAAATTTAAGGCTAGGAGATGGTTCAGCTGTCAAACTACCTGCCAAGAAAGCATGCAGACTGGAATTTAAGTCCTTAACAAGTATATTAAAGCACTCTATGGTGGCTTCATCCTATAAGGGTAGTACTGGACAGTGCAGAGGATTGCAATAGGTGGACCCTAGAGCTCAATGCCAGTCAGTCTGGTGAATTTTTGAAGTCTAGACTCAGGCAGAGATAGAGCCTTGTCTCAAAAAATAAGGTGGGGACAAACAGAGAATAATGTCAACCCCTGGCACGGGGCACTCCCCAAAATTTGTGGACAATCACACACTTGCACACCCCCTTCCATAAAACGCATGCATACTCACTCATATGCACATCACACACACACACACACACACACACACACACACACACACACACTATCCTGGGGTATGAACACCCTGCCTTTTCCCCCAGTAATGCCATTGTTGCACTGGTGAATGAATCAACACAAAGACTGAGCATATTTTGAACATATTGCAATATTCAATGGGTAAAATATACTTGAAGTTAGGGTGGGCTTTGATGGAATAAATGAACCAAAGTCTCATTTCATCGTGATTACTAAAACCCCCTCAAAACGTGCTCACCTCTGGAAATTAGTGACTTCTTTAAGGGAAATTGCTTAATTAGGGGATTCTTTAAAAGTTAATCAGATTGTCTAACAAGACTAAAAAAAGAAAGAAAAAAACCAAACACAAACAAATTTTACTTTTTTCCCCAAAGTTATTTGATTGTGTTTTATTTTTTAAAAGAACTAGTTAGCACCTGTTATTTTTTCTTACTTTCTGTGTTTTGTTTGTTTGTTTGTTTTCTTCAAGAGACTGTTTCATTAGTCATTGAGAATCCTGTGAACATCAAAGTTGTAGAAAGGCCATAGTTAAACACTGCCCTCCTCACTCTCATGTTGAAATTCATTTTTAATGGATTTTTTTTTTCAGAACTGAGAATTTGAACGTTTTTATTTCAAAGACAATGCTTTAGAAAAATGCTTTAGAAGATCAGAAAACATCCTATTAATTGGGATGTTTTCCAAACTAAATATTTGATGGGTTATATGTTCTGCTCAAAAATGCTCATTGCTTAGGAATTGCTATAGTCACAGATGGGAAGCCAGGGTGGCAGGTTAAAAGCAGTGTCTCAGAAATTAAGTTACACTTTGCATAATCTGACCCTTATGAGTGCTTTTAGCCTAAGCACTGTGCAGAAGCATGAGTTGAGAAAAGGAATCGGTAAAATGCAAAGGGAATTGAGCTCTATGGAGGGAGGCATTGGCTCCTTCCTCCCCTTGAATGCCCTGGGAATACAGATGTGGGAAAATAGGCTTGTCTTTGCTCTGTGCTGAATTTGTGACAGGTTGAAAAAGCACTAATTTTGCAAGTGAACTGAAGCAGTAAATATTAGATCGATGCAGAAGGAGATGAGACACTGATCAAAGAATTACATTAATTGTTATTTAGAATATAGAACCCTAGATAATTAAAGCTGTCAAAAATCACCAGGGAAATGTGTGCTGGTGACCATCCCTCTCCTCAAGAGTTTTTCTAGTGGAACTAGCAGGTGGGCTTTCTTAATTTAGTTAGTATGTCTGAGTGGGGGGGGGGGGGAGGAAGAGGTGGCTAGGAAAATAAGCTGAAGTTATGGTTTGTGTCTCAATTGCCCAATGGGTCTAGACCTAGTCTTAGAAAAATGTTTGTATTGTTTGTTCCGCTTTAGAAATTATTTTAGAGCATTTTTTTTTTCATTTTCATACTCTCTTGTAATTTATCCTCTTAATCCATCATACATTAGCATTTAAAAATATTTAAAAATGACATTTCTTTTAGCCATTTTGAGCTGTGCCTGGAGCTGGCCATCCCTCTTGCTTCTTTGATAGCCCATCTGCTAAATGAGCAGAGTGTTTCCTAATATGAGCAACTTAAAGGCAACCAGACACTGCAAATACCTGTTGTTGTTGATTTTTGTGACTGTCTCTACCTCCACTACAAGGGAATAAGAAAGTTTTCAAGTAAAACAAAAATCCCATTGTTAATAGTGATTAGCAGAGGCTCCCCAGTGAGCTGG